CTACCCCCACCCCCACCCCCACCCTCTGTGTGTACGTTTCTGTAAAGAGCTGGAGAAAAACAACCTGATGCTCAGATTATTCCTCTCACTTTAATGTCATTTGCCTCCCTGCAGATAAAATCTACCCCCACCCCCACCCCCACCCTCTGTGTGTACGTTTCTGTAAAGAGCTGGAGAAAAACAACCTGATGCTCAGATTATTCCTCTCACTTTAATGTCATTTGCCTCCCTGCAGATAAAATTGCATTTGTGGGGTTCAAGGGCTCCTTCCACCCGGACTGGGTCCATCTGGAGGTGGACGCAGACCGAGCCAAGATCCATCAGGTCCTGCCTGTCCCTGTGGTGCACAAGATAAAACTATGAGTGGCAGACAGAATGGGGAGGAAAGCCAAGAGACTATGTAGCCCCCAGATACTGACACATACCCCTTCAAAAAATGCAGACACACACACACACGCACACACACACACGCACACAGACACACACACACACACACACGCATACTGCCAGCACTGAAGAGTCAGTCGCTCCAAGCCATTGGTCCAGTATCAAGTGGTGTTTTTTTCTATTGGCGGTCAGAAAAAAAGATGTGACTCTGTGGTCTGTTCCCAGAGCCAGCTCTGCCTCTGAACTGTATCTGTGTAAGACACCCACCTTCAGTAGACTGCTTTAAAGTGACAACACACCCTGTGGCAGCCATATTGGAGGTCTGCAACTCTTTAGCAACAGTGGCTCAAAACAACCATTGGTGTTTGCAGAGACGTGATTGGCTCCACAGATGTGAATAGATATGATATTGGTTCTGTTTCTGACTGCACAGTCACTTCGTCACTAATGTTGTTATGTTTACATAATCTCAGCTTGCCAGCTAAAGTAACTGTTGGATTTGGTCAGCTAACCATAACTGTTGTGCTGTGAAAACATCCGTTTTGTGCACCAGCTAACATGGACATTCACTTCATTTCATGTCAACATCAACATTGGCCTGTTTGTTAAATGATGTGCTCGGCTCGTTAGCTCTCTGAAAACCCCCAAACCCTTAACTGACTCTTCACAAGCAACATCCACTAGAGCTTTAACAAGGAAAACACAGTTCAGTCTTTAATAATTAGACTAACAGACTTTGCTATTGGCTTACCCCAGCACACTGACACAGGGCTCACGTTAACCAAACGTTTTCTGTCATTGACTGAATTTGTTTGAAGGCTTCTGTTATTTTGACAAATTAGAACATACGGCAGGTCCTGCGGCATCGCGCTCACCCAAGCAGAAGTGCAGGGGCCAGTTACATAAAACAACTGAAGTTTTCTTCTTTAATATAACCCTAAGATTTAGGTTTTGGTTGAGGAAGTTACTTAAGTGTGTTGCACAGAATCTCTTAAAATGTTTCCTTAGTTAAGAAAAAAAAAAGTTTAGGCATTTGCAGCAGTGATTTTACATGGAGACTGTTGATTTGCTTGTGATACTTGTTATCACTTTTGGCAACATTAAAGAAGTCACTGCTATCTCATCCTCCTGTTGTTTTGATGGTAGCTCCTCCATGTTGCAGTTGAGACACAGTCAGAGGTGCCTATAGTTTTTGTCCTTACTTTGGTCACTAAGGTCTTTTGTGCAATGGTTTAACTGAGTTAAGTTATTCCTTAAGTATAAGCTTAAGATAAGGAGAAAACCTTAAATACTTAAGTGAACATTTTAAAAAAAACCTTAAGGAGAAGACTTAAGGGTGTTTTCTGCAACTGTATTAAACTGGGGGGGGGGGGGGGGGGGGGGGGGGGGGGGGGGGGGTTTGAAAAGAGTTAGGATGATCGAATAACTTAGGCTCAAAAGATTTCTGTCTGGTCTTGGTCCAATTTCAGTAGGTGGTCCATATATTCTGTCTGGTCTGGATCACAGTAGTAGCCCAGATACCCTCCATATCCCTGTATTTCCCTGGGGATATGGAGGGGTGGGATACATACACCTTGCAGCATGTTTTCAGTCTGTTCTGGTGTCTCCTCCCTGTTGTATGAGCCTGAAATAAACTCCAGATCAGATGTCTAAATTAGCCCAAATGACTCCATTGGAGATCCCTTATGAACCAGAGCAACTTCATGTGGGACAGAGAAACCAGGACGCCCTCCTGGCGCCAGGAGCAGCTCGTAGAGGAGCACCTGGGCCTGCACCTGCTGGGCATGGTTTAGCTCAGCATGATAAGACACTGTGGGGTTTCTCAGTATGTGCGCTAAGCACCCACAATTTTTCAGCGCGTCGCCACCTGGATGATACGAAAAGCGGTTTCACGTCTTGGTCTGCCCTCCTGCCTTGGTTCCCCAGTTCTGGGTGTTTTGTCCAACCAGTAGCAAAGTCTGTTACAGATGTTTGCAGAGGCAAGAGTCACCCACCTACCAATGACAATAATATGGAAATATTTTGTATTCACAGTAAACGTGGTGAGGAAAACATGACGCCCAGATCAAGCTATGATGAACAAGTTTGCAACATATCCAGCGCCAGTGTTTTTTTAGTTGGACAGCTCTTCAGTAGAGAGATGAGGTAGAAAACTAGTTTGTTAACTACAGAGGAAGATCAGGGTCCTGAGGGTCAGAGGGCTCCAGGGCCAGAGCCTCTTTATGAAGTGAGTTATTTTTCATATTATAACAATATTTCCTGTTGGAAAGTCAAACAACCACAAAATGACCATAGAGAGATGCAAAAGAGCACAAAAGACACAAAGTTATGCAAAACAACTACAAAGAGACACAACAACATCTCAGAGTCTGTTTTTCTGTGTTGTTGATGAGACCCAAAACTGATACAAAAGGACTACAAACTGATGGTTTGTATCTATCTTTTCCCTGTGTCTCTCTCCGCCCAGGGGTCTCATCATCTCTCCATGGTCAGCGTAAAGAAACTCAGTTCATTCTTTAAGGCAACAAGAAAAGCAGTTTGACTCAGACTCAGCTTTTCAAGAGGTTTCAGTCCAGTCAAGTCCCAGTGTTCACAGCAGTCAAACAAGCAGCGTTCATTTGAACTGTTAGCCTTCACAGACTGTTTGTTTCTTCACTGCTTCCTGTGGTGGAACACTGAAGTGAACACAAAGAGTTGTATATGGTTATAGTTGGTAGGAGACTTGGTCTGTTTACTGTCTCACAATAGCCTACATTTGGAAAGAAACCTGAGATTATTCACTATTGATCATTGACCATTGATTATTTACCTACGACTGAGTATTAGGGCAACATTGAGGAAAAAAAGAAATATGAAAGTATGAGAATAAAGTTGTAATTTTGAGAATAAAATCATAATATTTCAAGAAAATAAGTCAAAATATTATAAGAATAAAGTCGTAACTTTACAAGAATCAAAAATCTAAAGTTTCTAGAGAAAAAAAACATATTTTTTAGGAATATTACAAGCAGCTAATAAACCAGGTGAAAGGACAGTCAGTGTCAGCCTGAGCTGCTTCTGGCAGCTGCTGTTTGTCTGTCTAACAATAGAATAAACTCAATTTCCTCACAATCAGTGTCATGATGATGATGATGATGATGATGATGATGATGATGATGATGATGATGATGATGATGATGATGATGATGAGCCAAAAGATGAAGTATCTCCTTATTTGTGAAACCTGAAGTAGAACTTCACAGGATGCTCCATGTTCCTCATTTTAAAGCTTCTCATATTTCCTTCTAAAACAACATGTAACCTAAAATTATCACTTTATAGTCATTAGATTCTGATTTTATTCTTGTAATATTATGATTTTTTTCTCAAAATTCCACCTTTATTCTCAGAATTTCAGATTTTTTCCTCAATGTGGCCCTGATACTCTGATGTATACAACAACAAACATTTTACAACAACAGTCTATTTTTATGTTCCTAGCCTGGTTGTGTGATGGTTATATTTCACTGATCTCCACAGTGTCGGCCATGACTGCTTCTAAATGAACAGAGGTAGCAAATACTTGGAAAGTGTGAGCGAGCCAATCAAAGGCATGTATAATAAACGTGTATCATCCTTCCCCTGCAGGTCTCTGTGACATGACAGATGTAGAGGTGGAGCGGTTTCACTCTTGGCGTGTTTGAACTGTTTAAAGAAAAAAAACAAACATTCCCGGTTTGGTTGTGGACTTGCTCTGTTTCATTCCGAGCTCTCGCTCACTTGATATTGTGATGTTTTCCTCTCACTTTCTTTCCCATCAGTGTCTGTGACCCATTCGTCTGTGTTTTTTGAAATAAACCAGCAAGAAGCCCGTAATATAAAAAAAAGGAAATTATCCAGTGAATGCTAAAAGCAGGGAGTTTTTAAACGTGCAATTTCCCCCATTTCAAAATCACAGAGATCTTTGATCCAATCTGGCAAAAAAAAAAGGATTTCCCCTCCCTTTGCCGAAATAGCTGGTCTTTTTTCGGATGTTGTAGCAGTAATTTAGTGTTTTGTATGTTTAATGTGTTTTTAAAAATCCACAGATTGCTAAGAGATATATTTTATACTTATTTATTGTACAGACACAGTTGATCCAAATCTACAAGGGACATCTTTTGAGTTGTAATGTTATTCCTGTCCTGTATGTATTCTGTATGTACGAAATATTATCGCTTCATTTTAAAAGATTTGTACCAGACACTCAGCATACATGCATATGACTCATATGGTATAGTTGGCTTGTTTTCACTGTACACCAAATGGATGTGTTGTATATGTGGCTTGGGCTTGTAAAGTGATGACTATGAATTTCTTTGAGGACTTTTGTATAGAAATAAATGATGATGAACAGTTTGTGTGAATGTCAGTCTCCTTCTTGAAAACACTGACATTTTCAAATCACGCAATGATGACCACTATCATCTGTATTCCCAGCATGACATGGAAGTCAGTGATGAGCCTGAGCAGCCTCCTTTTTTCAGTAACAGACAAATTATAAGCAAAAAACATTGAAAAACTAGAATCACCTCCTCGTGGTTGTTTCCTCCATCAACCGGTAAAGTTACAGGAAATATGGTCACAGTCTCTCCTTCCTGAGGTACAGTGTTGAATAATGACCAGGGGTGTTTTTGCAGAACATTATGATGACACAGTGAAGTTGACCTTTTGGAAATGAAATGTCATCACTTTATTTTATCCTCGTTGTGTCATGATTAGTGAATGAATCAGTGAGTTATGGGCAAAAACCTGTTTGGTTGTGTCACAGTGTGTAAGACGTGATGAAATTGAATGAAATACTGATATATTGCATTCACAAGAACCTGAGATCACCGTGACCTTGAACTTTGACCTTTGTCCACTAAAATCTAATCAGTTCATCTGTGAGTCCAAATGAATGTTTGTGCCAAATCTAAACAAATTTCGCCTCGGTGGTGTTGAGATATCACATTCAAGAGTGCAAAACAGTTTTGCCCTTTTAAACTGTATATTCATCTAAAGTTACTGTTCTTGGTCTTCCTCCTCCTCTTCCTCTCAGATTATTTCCCTACATTGTTTCATTCAAAATGCAACCTGTGCACTCTGACCTGTCTTACATTGGTTTCATCACATTAGCAACAAGTGTGAACAGTTTTGAGTTGTTGTGTGTAAGCTATGACACCTGTGCTGAAACCATCATGCACCATGCAACACAGTGGATTTTATTGAAAATGTGTTTAGAGTTTTGTAAAAAGGTGAAATGAGATCTGCAACTTGTGTCTAACCAGGTGAAAATAGTTTAGTTTCAAAAGAGTGATTGATTCAATAAATGTCTTCAGGTCACTGAGTGTTTCCTTCAGAGAACGAGATTTAGTGTTTTGGCAAATCAGAAAAACTGTAATGTGTCATGGTGTTACAGCTCCACTCTGCTGGTGTCAGGCTCTTCATCAGATGTTGTGACCTCTCTGCAGGGATTTGATTTGTATGTAGGTGTATCAGGTCTAACACTGATGTTGGGTGATCAGGTCTGGGACCAGTTTCACTAAAGCGATCTGTAAGCACTGCTCACGTTGCAGGTCTCAAGTGGTGGCAGTGTCTCATTTCACATGTGCCTGACACTAGTAAGTTGCAGATGAATGTGTCTACAGGGTTCTCACATGGTCATGCATGCTGCTTGCTATGAAGTGAAACCTCTCCAAACGTACGTGAGAGGGAAGTTACAAGTGTGATGAAACGGGCCCGCGGCTCTCAGTCAGGGCTCAGGCCTGTGTGTAGACCAGTCAACACTGAAGTTGGAGAACTGTTTCTTTGAGCTGTGGCTGTGTGCAGCTGAGCCAGGAAAGAGACAAACACACACTGTTGCCATAGCTGGTGTAAAATATTCCCCTTAATTCTAACTGAAGCCCAGACTGTGAGACACAGCATGTAGCAGATGCTTTTGACTCATCGTGATATTTGATTTCTGTCTGTACACTTCTCTCATGTAAATATATGATTTAGTCTGGGAAGTGAAGGACCGTGATGTTCAGGTGACTACACATATGGATGGTAGGGACATGTCCCTACCAACATTTTGGGAGGACTGAATTGTCTTTGTGTGAACATTGTTTGGAGTGAAGTCATTAGATAATTCTAATTTTTGCTCCTAGAGGCTACATCTCCAACAAGACTGATTTAAGCCTGGCAGCAAACCACTGAAACACAGACATCAGGAGCTGCTTCACCACCAGAGCCTCAGTAATAGGTAGTAAACCAACCAGACAGCAGCCACACTCATTTAAATGAAAACCTGCTATAGCTACCAAACAACACCAGCCTTTTATTATTAGATTGTTAATACTGATGCATCACTAGATTAGCAGCATTTTACTGTTGTAGCTGGTCAATGTAGAGCAAGTTTTAAATGTGAAATCAAGGAGAAAAGGGAAACTGCAGCACTGGTAGGACTACTGAATATAAACATGTTGGTGATGGATGACAAATGCAAAAATATTGTTTGTTTTTTCTCTCTTTTCTATTAGCAAGTCATTTCCTAGTTTACTTTCTTTTAATCTTTGATCTGTTACTGTGTATAGGTTTGATTTAAATGTGAATACAGATCATATATTAACAGACCGTTCAGCTGAGAGCATTAAAAAAGTCCTCTTTGTTTTGGAGGAGTTGTTGTGTTCCAACCAGTGTTGAGACCGAACCTACACCCTTGTGTGAACCCTTCGGAAAGACCTGGTTGTCTGCACTGATTTGTCATAAAATGTGATCTGATCTTCATCTAAGCCTCAAATGTGGACAGACACAGTGTCCCAAAACTAATATAACCCAAACAATTATAATCTTTGTATGTTTCTTGAACACAGCCATTAAACATTCACTGTGCTGGTGGAAAAAGTAAGTGAACCTTGGATTTAATAACTGGTTGAACCTCATTTGGCTCCAATAACTTCAAAGCAGAGCTTCCAGTAGCAGCTGATCAGAGCTGCTCAGTGTTCAGGAGGAGGTTTGGACCATTCTTCTTTAAAGAGCTGCTTCCGCTCAGATTCTCGTGTCTGGTGTGAGCAGCTCTCTGAGCTCAGTCCACAGTATCACTACTGGGTTAAGGTCTGGTCTCTGACTGACCCACTCCAGAAGGTGGACTTACCCTGATGTTTTGGGTCATTGTCCTGCTGCATCACCCAGCTTCTCCTGAGCTTCAGCAGGTGGACGGTCACCCTGACTTTGTCCTGGAAGAGACCTCTCTCGATGACGTGGAGCTGTCCTGGTCCAGAGGCAGCAGATCAGCCCCAGACCATGATGCTCCCTCCACCCTGCTCCACCTGTGGGATGATGATGATGGGATGTAGTATGTAGTGCCCTTTACACCACACATAGAGCTGCATGTTTTCCCCAAACAAGTCAATCTTAGTTTCATCAGTCCATGAAACATTTTCCCAGTAGCACTGTGGAGTGTAAAGATGCTCTTTATAAACTTCAGGGGTGCAACAATGTGTTTTTGGAGAGCAGCAGCTTCCTCTGTGGTGTCTGCGGCAGGACAACATGCCCCATGATGTGTGAGTGCTCGACTCATGAGCAGAGATGTTAACCAGCTCCAATGATTCCTTGAAGCCTTCAGCTGTAACTCCGAGCTTCTTTGTTAACGTTACTGATCATCTGTGTTGAGCTTTTGGAGTCTTCTCAGCTGGACGTCACTTCTAGGGAGAGGAGCCACAGAGCTGAGTCATCTCCAGCTACAGACAGTTTGTGTGACCGTGGACTGATGAAGATCTAAACTCTTTGAGACGACTCTGTGACACTTTCAGCTTCGTGCTAATCAACTACTCTTGTGTGAGTGTCAAGTGTCTAACACACACCCCCGATCTTCTTTCATTGACTGGACTCTGATAACTCCTGACTCAGCTTCTGCTGATGTCATTAGTCGAGGGGCTCACAGACTTTTTACTGCCACACTGTGAATGTTTGAATGATGTTTTCAATGTGGACAAGAACAAAACTAAGATTTGTGTGTTATTAGTTAACATAGACTGTGTTTGTTCACTGTTGATCAGACCGTATTTAAGGAAAAGTCCATACATAAATGGAGGTAATTCTAAAGAGTTCACTTATATGTACAATAAAGCCACTGTCAGCACTACACAGTAAAGACTAGCAGGATGAGAACACATAAGCTTCAAACCTTCAAACCTTCAAACCTCAGCAATGAAGACGAAGCTCATGTGATTATTTAAAAAATGTTTATTCTTATATTCAGTGAAAAATCAAACAGAAAGTGTGGGTGCTACTTTTGTATCAAATCTAGAAGTGCTGCTGGACGTGAACAACTTCTGACACAGACCAGGATCTGAAGGTCTGATGAACAACTCCATATCAGTGTCAGGAGAACCACTTCCTGTACCTAACATGGCTCTGGGCACAGAAAAAAATACAGTTTAATAATGCTTACCTTGAGTACCCTTTAAACAAGATGTGCATGCATTGATTTGGATTTGATAATAATCTAACAGAAAACAGCTAAACCAGTCAACACTGACATTACAACTGATTCTTTAACTGCTCGGTGACGGAGGTGATCATTATTTTTAAGATTATTACTTTAACATTATTTCAAGGCTGGATGCTGCAACATGTTCCACTGAGGGACGATAAATCTCTGACTCCAGCTTAGCAGCAATGAACCCAACAGGTTTTATTAGTTCACTCATACCACCAAGTGTGAACCACTGCATCTTCACATGGTCCTGCAGCTCTCATCAAGTCTACGGCTCACAGATCCTGGTCTTGAGAATAAACATGTCTAAGGCCAGAAGAACAAGGACCTGTGACACCTCGTCTCCCTCTGCGTTATCCCATCAAAGCTCATTCTTCAGATGTCTGGCACTGTTCCCCTCCAGGTCAGGCTTCTTGCTCTCCATCTTCTTCTTGTTCTTCTTTTCATTGACGTCATTCTTCTGGTTGTATTTGGCATCGTCCTTCTTGGCAGCTCTCCCAGGAAATACCTGTCCCTCCACTGTCACTTCCATGCAGCGTTCCTGGGCCACGAGGAAGTCTTTGACCTCCCAGGCCAGACTGCCATCCCGCAGCATGAAGATCACCCTGTTGGAACCCACCACGAACCTGAAGGAGGACAGGTGGATCACCAACACCAGGTACAGTTTGTTAGGACAGACTATTGTAATGTACGGTTGATGTTTTTAGTGACTAAATAACAGCTTGGTTAATAAAAATGAGTTGCTAAAAACTAAGAATCTAGTGCAGGTAACACTCTGACTATGCATGACTACCTCATACAACCCCACGTCAAATAACCCAAACTATCCCTTTAACAGGATTACTCATTCACTTTGGAAAAGCCCTGCATTTATTGAACTGAAAAAACAAAAAAAAATTTCAAAAAATTTCAAAACAAACAGCATTGTGTCTATGTAGTTTTTCTGGTTTTACACAATATAAGTTAAAGATATGTGAGCGTGGGACAACCAGCAAGCTGCTTAAACTGCTTCAACTAAAAGGTTGTTAACACTTAAAAACAAATTTTCCATGACAGTTCAACATACACCATCTGGGTGAAAGCTCTAGACAAAGCTAGTAAGTGTACCTTGATCATGAACATATAGCCCTCTTAGACATTAATGGGACTAAACCTACAATCTGAGCTCAGCTGGGGGTTGAGGCTCCAGTCTGGAGCAACTGCTGTGTTTTCTTCACACCACTAGATGTCACTGTCCTCACTGTTACTGCTCCAAAGCTTCAGATCGTGCTCTCTGTGCGAAAAAAGTTTTCTTAGGAAGGTTCGGACTGAGTGAAATGAAGTATCTGAGCAGCAGCCATGATCAGAACTGGTAAATGATAAGAAGTAGCTTCAGAGCTTCCTATCTTATCTCCTTTAGGAAACACTGGAGCTTCCTTTACGAAAGGAAAGGAGAAATGCCGTCCCACAATTCCTTGCTGCAGCAACAATTTAAGTGATGCATCATTGTAGTTTCACCTTGGCAGAGCCAAGTAAATGTAGAAACAACAGAGAAACTGTTTTATATTTGAGACTCGATCCAAAACTGATGGAAATACTCGTCTGATTCACTGAAGCCCAAATCCACAAATATGAATTCTTCTCTTTGAATCCAGTCAGGAGTCCTCATGAAGAACAAGCAGATTGAATTTATAGTCAACAATATCATCATCATAAAAACATATTATAGCCTGTACATAAATGTTGTCTCACTAAATCCCCTCTCATTGTGTAAAGACCTAAAAATGGATTTTCTCGACTTACAAATGTCAAAAGTGCCTCTACCAGGACACTATGTACTAATGTCTGAATATAATTCATTCTGATCTCTTGCTCAGTTCTTTATTTCTATTTATCATTATTTGAATGGCTCAACTTTCTCTATTTGTATTGTTGTATCATGTCATCTTATTTCAACATTTCATCATCAAACCTCATGACGTTTTCCATCGAGGTCGAGGAGATGTGGTTAGAGAGGAGATTATTTTGACTTTTTGTCTGCAGTCCTTTTCTCAGCTCTAAAACTTAATTAGGCTTTGCTCAAGTATAACAACCAATAACAGTTCTAACAGTTAATAACAGAACTAAGGTTATTAGTTGATCCCCATGACATAACCTTCAACAATCATTAACTGCAGGCCAAGTTAATGAGAAATAAATCTACCCTGTTGAAAAGTAGGAGTTGAGTGAGTAACTACCTCTGAACATCAAAGTTGGCATTGAAGAGGCTGCCCTGCCACAGGCCTGTGATCTCCTCCGTCTCCTTCTCAGTGGGGTCTCCTGACACTGTAGCAAAGACCATCAGAGTCCGACCCTTCTTGGACAACTTGAGCAGCTCCTCCGGCTTAGAGGCGTCCACCTTCGCAAAATCAATGGGAGGAGGAGACCTCTTGTGCTCTGGCAGGTCACCTTCCTCAATGTCATCATCTTCCTGTGGAACCAAGAGGAGGAATGACACACAGTGAATCATCAAAAGTTCAAAACACTGGATTACACTCAAAGTACCCAACTGCCACACTCTCACCCTCCATATTGCTGAAGGTGCTGAGCCAAACCCCGTTCTAAATATAGTGGAATACTTGTTACTACAGCTCAGAGCTCATGAAGTTCTGTATCACTCAGCAACTTTACCACCTCATTATATGTTACTACTGCAATATAATACAATCCCCATTCAATGCTACTTCATATACAGTATCTACCCAGTGTTTCCCAGACAAATTTATTTGTGACAGCCTGCCACCATATCAACACTGACTGCCACATATTGATTTATATGACATTTTGCTGATAATAACTTCTACTTGTGTAACACTCAATAGATTGTAGTATTGCTATGTTTACTGCAGTAAAGGATAGCTTTTCCACCACAATCAACACAGAAACTAAATATGTTGACACAATACTGTAAACTTCACATACATAAATGCACAATAACAAAAGTCAACCCCGACTTTTTTAAGCGAACTCAAAATGTATATTAATCGTCAAGATGTATATTAATCTTGATCTTGCAAATACTAAACAACAGTAATAAAACTGTTAAACTGTATGGTGAACTCTTGAATAATCTGATAACGTATGTGTATATATTTCTTTTTATTTATATTTCTGTATTTTTTTCTATTATTCATTTTGAAATTATTACTCTTGACTCTATGTTCACAACTATATTGAGCACATTTTTTTATACACTTTCAATAAATAAATTAAAAAAACAAAACAATTAACAGAAGTCAATAGTAAAGTAAAAGGGCAGATTAACTGTTGCTGTAGATAATTTTAGGAGTTCCATGTTGCTGATGATGCAGCCAAGCCAGTGACATGCCTAGCTAATGGCTAGGTTAGCAGCTAACCTCTGTATGCTGGCTAAATGAAAACCAGCTCGTTAACGTACCTCCCATTGTTCCAGGAGCCGCGCCATGTCTGCATCGTTGTAGTCTCGGATATCTTTCTTCTTCTTGGTCTTTTCTCCGCTGACAGTGGCTAAAATACAAGACAAATAAGCGCAGAGCAGGAGTACCACACATCTCCACCTGAAGTCAGACGCCATGTTTACAGATGGTGTGTTCTGATTGGCTCCGGAGACTACCGGTCACAAGACTGAGAGGCGTGTCAGAGCAGTAAAAAGCCGACTGACGGCACGCACACCATGTGAGGGAATTTCAAAATAAAGCCAATATTTTTAAAAGTTTTCCTTTCGTTATGCTTCAGTGGTTTATAATTTTTATTTTATTATGATGTATTGTTAAACAATGAAATGTCTCACTCTTCTTTTATTTTACATTACATGTTGCAGAATTCATTTTTGGGAGTAGAAGACCAGTGGAGCAACAATGCTGATGACTTGAGAGATTAAAATGATGAAAGAATTTTGACTTTACTTTAATATAATTGTGAAAACGTAAACAGTGTGAATTGATGTGTCTGAGTTGTGGGTGGAAGTTGTAACACAGCTGCAAATTTGTTGTTGCAAGGTTTCTGCTTTGGGAACTAGCCCAACACACTACAACTTAAGAAAATACGTGCAAATAGACAAAATACAAACAAATCCCAAAAAACATCTTCATCATTTGACAACACATGTGCTGCAAATACTCCCAACACAACAGAAGTGTTTCCAGGGGAGACTAAAAAGTGAACCTGGCTTTTTAGTGTCCCCTGGAAACACTTCCGTTGTGTTGGGAGTATTTATGTTGTCAAATTGATGTTGATGTTTTCTGAATTTGTTTGTGTTTTGTCTGTTTGCACTGTTTTCTTAAGGTGCAGTACGTTGAGCTTTCAGAGCCACTGTAGAAAACACTTTTAGTAGAAAAAAATATTATTTTTCACAGTGTCAAAACAGGTTACCTTCAACTTAATATGACCCCAGCAGGCAGTTGAAAACGTAGCACATGTGCTACATAGTTGGCAAGTAGGACTTTGGCCACCTGAGGATTCGAATCCTTGACCTTTGTCTCCACAGAGAATGTTTCTTACTGACTGTGGAGACATGATCTCACAACTCAAGGTAATGGCATCACAAGTACAGAACTGGGATTTGGTCTGTTTAACCTTAAAACACTTAAAAAACAATAATAACAAAAAATTCTGCTCTGTAGGATGAACCAGTGATTTGTTATTTTTTTGACATTTGGAATGTGAAATGTCTAGAAATTTAGATTTTTTTCTGAGTTTCTACCCAAAATGAGCTTTTTTTAATGTCTTTTTAATGTGTGGTCATTGGCGAACAGATCCTTCTTGGTTAATGATCTGATAACTGAAAAGAATTTGCACTGTATGTTTTTAGCTGAGTCTGGGTTAAACAGCACTTAACCAAACTATCATTTCTTTCAGTCAATCAGGCAAAACAGGAAAGGAGGAGGGACTGCCGCTATTTTCTCCCCACAGTTTGCATGTAGGGACATTGACCTATGTGAAATTACATCAACTGAATGTCTTGCTCTTAAATTGAAAGCAGAATTATTAGTACTCATCATTACATTATTATTATGTCATCAGGAGATTCATCACTACTTCTACAGCAATTCTCAGAGCTGATCTCACTTGGTATCTCTAGATATGACAGATTAATCCGGAATATTCATTTTAAAGACTGACTGGAGCTTGTTAGTTTACCTGACATCCTTGAACTCACCCAGCATGTAAATGAAGCCACTCATCAGCATGGCACCACCCTAGACCTGGTAATAACAAAAGGCTTAAGCATTTATAATGTTTCAATAGTCATATTATGTTTCTGACATCACTGTGTCTTTTGATGCTGACCAAACCTTAAAGTTTCTACAGGCATGTTTTAGAATCTGTTAAAATCCTCTGCTATGATTAATATTTTGTTTAACATGTTTTTGACACATAAAAAGTGAAAATCATCATCTCCTCTTACTTCCTGATTGAGAAATCTGGATCAGGCCTTGAGCCCCGCCCACCACCTGCTGTCTCCAGGTGGACAGGTGAAAGAGCAGAGGGCATCAAGATGGTTAGAGGAGGAAACATCAGAGAGACTCAGCCACATGTTTGAGCCTCAGTCAGACCCAGACTCAGATGAGGAGTCTGTTGAGACCAGAACCAGAGACTAGCAGACGGATCAGAACAGTTAGCATAGTTAGCATCTTTTATTTGTTTATGTTGTTTGTTAGCTTGTAACTGGCATAATGCTAATGCTAACTCTCTCTTTCTGTACTGACAAGGTTTCAGGTTTATTTACACAACAATGGTTCATGCTTTAGGAATAAGAACCTGTATGTGAGGTTTTTGATAATTGTCACCAGATGTACCCTTCACAATAAAACACTCTTATAATAGAAACATAAAAAGGAAAAAGCAGTCAGACAACTAAATGATTTATTTGTCATAGAACATAGTAAGCCTTAAGGTCCAAACCTCCTGTTCCTGTTCCTTCCTATTTCCTGACAAATTGACAAAAATGACGAAAGATGTTAAGGAAAGTCAAAAAAAAGGAATCCTGGATCCATCCCTTTCACTGGATCCACACCAAACTTTAATGGGTTCTTCCCTGGCCTATGTCCCATCGCTCCACTAAGTTTGTTGCAAATTGGTTCAGTACTTTTTGTGTAATCCTGCTAACAAACAAACAAACTAACTAACAAAGCAGACACGGGTGAAAACAAAGCGTCCTTGGTGGAGGTAACAATAGAAATATGACCATTAGTTGGAGTCAGGAAGGAACCTCTCTCATGTTCAGGAGCAGGAAATCCAGTGGGTGATAACATGAAGGCCAGGATCAGACCAATGCACTCTAACTGTAACTCTGCTCATACGACCCTGAATTTAATGTTAATGAAGCATTCATTTCCCTCAGTGAGAATGTGGACAGATTGTTGATGCAGAACAGTGTGTGGAGGCCTGCAGGTTTCATGGGGTCATGGAGATCGGAGATCAGCCTTAGCTGACACAAACTGTAGAGCTGTTTCCTCTTTGGCCGACTCCACCCAATGGCACTGTGCCCTGTGCAGCTGCAAGTCCCACTGACAGTACAACAGCACTCACATTCACTCACAGTGTGTTCATCACAACCTCCTACCCAGAAGAAAAGAGCCTTCATCATTCCTTATGTACAAAATATAGAATCAGTCTGTAATAATGTTTTGAACTGATTTATTTATTATTTTGGAAGTGACTGATCAAATTTTCTAACAACAAATGTATCATCAAAATGTAATATTGAACACTCAGTCTATGTATTGGTCCATCCCAAACAATTACATGATATATAATATAAACTGATGAATTCTTTAACATCATCTTCTAACATATAAATCTTTACTCTTTACATGAGTTTTTACACTTTATGCTACAGAACATTTATTGTGAAACCCACAGAGATTTGGTTTACAGTGATATAAAATAGAGAAAAGCAAATAATCCTCACATTTGAGAAGCTGGAGCCAAATAATTCTCATATATAATTGATAAATCCTGATTAACTGATTTAAAGTTCTAATCTGTAACTTTTCCACATTAAAATGTCTAAAAACATCTAGACCTGTGTCTTATATGTTGTTGAGTTGTGTTCTTACATTATCCCAGATGTTTCCATCAATTGTCAAACCAGAGAAATCTGTGATTTTAATCATCGTGACATTTTATTGGTTGCCTGTCAATGACATCATATCCTCTATGATCATGTGACAGTGTATTTGGTGACAGAAGCTCAACAATGACTTTTATCTAGTTTTAAGCCACATACACTTTTGATACCTTGGTGGTTTTCAGCTCTATATTTGAACCAGATGAAGGATTTTAGTCGTCGGACGTCTGGATCTGAAGTTATCAGAGAAACAAGCTGAGGAAATGTTAGACAGCTCAGCTCCCAGCTGCTGGAGACGTCCTGTCCTGTGTCACTGAAGAGCGTCGCTGAATCTCTGCTTTTTAAAGGTAAACTGCTTTCTGGGTGTTTCTACTGGTTCTAATCCCCTGGTGTGTTTGTTGTGGAGAGGAGGACACCTCTGTGGATAATTCAACTGCTGGTAAAAACCTGCTGAACGTCTGCTTCATAAGTTATAGAGAAACAATCAGAACAAAGGTTAGCATCAATCTCAGCTCCAACTCTTCCCTGAGTCTCTGTCCTCCGTACAGCGTCGCTCCAACACTGACTTTACATGTCAAACTGCTTCATTCAGTGTTTTTAACAGTTAGAATCACAAGGTCTGTTTGATTTCCTGAACCACTGACACTGAAGGAATCCAAACCGGGAGGAGCTTATGGTAATGGTGATGAAAACAACTCCCATGATCCCACACTATTTCATGATGTCACCCAATGCCATCTTTTGTTATTGTTTTGATTGAGAGACCCCTAGAGGCAGAGGTTACATAGTGTGAGTTTAAAGCTGAAGTGCAGGACTTTTAAATATAAATTAACATCTGTTACATTCAAGCCTTTGCCAAATGAGTTCACACAAAGCTGATTAAAGCCTGTCAGTGGTAGGTAAATCTCTTTGTATTTTTTTAGTATACCATAGTTTAGTATACTCCATCTGGTGTCTACGGCAACTTTACCGCACTGTGCACATGTGGCGATGTGCTTTACCAACTAGCAAGTTTGCCAGAGCTGAAGAGGGTGTTCTGTTGTCTAATAGGACAAATTACTACTGATGTGACTTTTTCTTGTTGAAGAGTGCTTGGACAGGTTGCCATTTTTAAATATATGGAGTAGGCTATTACATTTATTCCACTTGCCAAAGGGGGAAGACAAAAGTTCCTCATTGCAGGTTTAACTAGCCAGTAAATTCAGCCCTATAGTAGACATTGTGCAAATGGTAACCAAGTACAATTACTCAAGGACTCTTGTACAATTTTGTACATCATGTACCAAGAATCTCATAAAAATGTAAGATGGCCTCCCTTAACAGGTGCAACAAAGTAAGAGGAGAGTGAAAGATATGAGTCAACACAGGCCTGAGCTGAGGTAAGAGACACAAGGATCTTTAAACATTAACCCTACACATTATAAATAGAGAAATAATCCACCTCAACTAGCTATCTTAAATGCTGATTATATAATATAATACATAATATATAACACTCTAAAAGGGGCAG